TTTTTTTTGGTTTATTTGTGCGTCTTGTGATTGGTTAAATGCGACCAGTTTAATGGTAGTTGAAAAGAAGTCTTAAAGGACTGATCTTTCTTTTTGGGTAACTTCGTCAATATTGCAGCTGGTCAACAGATCGAATACCATTAATTGAGGAAAAGAAAATAACAAATTGTACTCACCTGATAAACGCTCAGTTTAGTGCAACTAAACTATGCCTCTTTGTTGTTGTTTTCTGTTAGAATCCTCGAGATGAAACCTGCAACAAATGCTTTCCTTCGCACTACAACCGCTGTCACTCAATTCAACGCGGGCGTTAAGGTTTGTACTACAAATACTACATCAAACACGAGAAACCGAGTCGTACCACATTTACAAACACCTAGAAGAGAGCTGAAAATACGGCGGGTAACGTAGTATGTTTGCCAACTTCGAGGTGTTTGGAAATGTGGCCAAACGCTGTCTTGAGTGTTTGATATTACCTTATAAATCAAAACTGCAACTGAGGAGAGAACGGAGAAATAAAATCATAATATTTGATGCTACTTAAGATCAGATTTCCAAACACCGTCACGGTCATGATTTCCTATGATTCACCTTAATGAGTTATTAGCGAGTTCGAGAAGCCTTTGGCTGCTGTCAAAATTAAGTCTTCCAAACAGGTCTCTTAGTAGCGTCAAGTCAGTATCACTTCCTTCTTCCTTTTATCGTGTTTGTTTTATTTTAGTTTTTTAGTTTTTCACTTCAAGATCTTTCTTTTTTACATCACCAAACAGGCTAACGTAATCCCTTCCTCTGCAAGAGTGACAGTAAATCATCGGGTACACCCAAGTAATACCCTTGAAGAGGTGAGGAGAACCATCTGCTTTGGAGCTAAATAACGTCCATGTTCAATCTTTGTTATACCACCCAACATATTCCGATTCCTTTAATCCAATCAAAATATCGTGACTCTTTTTCANGGGGGGGGGCGGGTGAACTTTGAAAAGGTCGCGAGTGCTCGTCGGAAAATGTCAATTAAACCCCTAAGGGAGATGTGGGTGTGGCACGAGCTTTATTTGAACCCTTAAAGATACCACTTAAAACGGCATAGACTGGATTACCAGCCGCTGTTCGGGAAAGGTACCTGGGCTAGTAGACGGGACTCCAGAGACCGACGGAAATCGAACCTAAAAACGGAAATACTAAGCGTTTCTTTAATTATTATTTTTGTTCGAGTGCACCCTAAAAGATATTTTGATAGCTAAAAATACTGGCGTTTCGTCATCAACACCCTAAATGAGACTAGAATCCTTGATCTATACCCCTAAGCGAGACGACTAGCCTTTTTAAATGGGAGCTGACTGCCCCTGGGGGGCCTGGACTGCCTCAATAACAGCTCTAGCTGCCTCTCTAAGAGAGGTTTCCACCCACGAGAAACAGACATCATGCGAAATAAGATCAGGAACAGCCAACCATGCCTGCCTTACATTGGTATCCGCTGTGAGAGAGTTAATATTTTTTTTCATAATCTTCTACTAGGCTCTACTTTTTGATTTATTGGATTTTCAATTTGGCTGCCTAAAACAACAATTTATTGTAGCGATCTATCTTAGCTTCTTTCTCAGCTGATAACAGTCTGTGTTTCAAATGAAAACATAAATGATCCTTGCAGTTATATACACAACTCAAGCAGCTGTGAAATTAGAGCCTGGAGAAAATTCAGGCTTGGACGGGATTCCAGTTGTTTTTGTTTATTTATTTTTGACTTCTGCTGTAGGTTCTTGAGCATGACCGACGATGTATTAACGATGATCGGGTCAAAATTCGTGTGATGAATTCAGCCGAACCCTCGCCCGTATCTAGCTGGGATAAACGGTCGTTTGGTTTCCAGGTATGTACTTGTCGGGAAGTTTTTTTCCGTATTTAAGTTTCTGTCATTCTGAAAAGAAAAGTTGTAGAAATACAGGTTACGAAAATCTGATGCCAGATAACTTCCTACAGATTATATTCTTGAAACGTTTTCAATCCAAATTTTGAGTTTTTGTCGTCAAATTCATCATCACTTGCTTTGAGATTTCTACCCAAACACGCTTTTTTCCCCGTTATGTCTGCATCCTTACGTCTGCATCCTCAGCGAGAGAAATATCTGCTCTGTTTTATATCCATCTTTCTGGTGTAGTATTATGATACAGTCCTCAGTTAGAATTAAGGACTTGAAGCCCTGTTGGTCGTTTTGTCATGTTAGCCATAGGCCCCGTCTACAGTGCGCCGGGGGAATTTGAAAATGGAAGTTTTACTCTGAAAACGCATCAGATGTTTTTCGTTCCCGCTACGCCGGAGGAATTTAAAACCAGAACAATCACCGGTCATTTTGGATTTGTGTTTGCGGAAAACTCGGTCAGGGAAATCAC